CCTCGGTTGGCCCCGGATAGCCGACCCCCCCCCTCTGGGGGGTAGGGCTCGGTGAGGAGAGCCATTCGTGTCGGGACCAGAGTGCGGACAGAAGGGAGCTGCCTCTCACCCGTTGCGCACCGCATGTTCGTGGGGAACCTGGTGCTAAATCATTCGTAGACGACCTGCTTCTGGGTCAGGGTTTCATGTGTAGCAGAGCAGCTACCTCGCTGCGATCTACTGAAAGTCAGCCTTTGCCCCAAGACTGGGGAGGGATAGCTCAGTGGTTTGAGCATTAGCCTCCTAAACCCAGGGTTATGAGTTCAATCCTTGAGGGGGCCATTTAGGGATCTGGGATTAAAAAAAAAAGTTGGGGATTCATCCTGCTTTGAGGAGGTTGGACTAGATGACCCCCTGAGGTCCCTTCCAACCCTGATATTCTATAATTCTATGACCCCCCCCCCACACACACACATAATAACCTCATGACCCCAAGGGGTCCCAACCCCCAGTTTGAGCACCCCTGCTCTACGGTCACTTTTCCCCATGTATAGTACCTTTGCACAAAATTAAACCCATGTTCTTTATTTACTCCAGGGTGTGGGTGTGTGTCCACCAAACCTGCTTCTTGTCAGCAGGGACAGAAGAAAGAAATAGAATCACAGGAGTGGGAGGGACCGCGAGAGGTCACCTAGTCCAGTCCCCGGCACTCACGGCAGGACTAAGTATTATCTAGACCATCCCTGACAGGGGTTTGTCCAACCTGCTCTTAAAACCCTCCAATGGCGGCAAAAGGGGGGTTGGTTTTACTTGGAGGGATTCAGACACTACAGCGATGGGGGGAGAAGAGACAAGCCCCTAGACGCTGGACAGCTCAGACTCTGGCCCCGAGACCGCCCGGGAGAGGTAAGTGCAGTAACATCAGTCGTACCATCACTGTCACGCCAATGGACCTGTACTTTATGCAGGACACTGAATGCGACTTTAGATAATTCTCTCCTTCTGTGGATGAACAAGTCGTCGTGCTGTATGTTAGGCACCAAAGTCTCTGCTATCCCCTGTTGCAGAGGCTGTAGTATTAGTGGGCAGAGCTTAAATTCTCATAGATTATTTCCCGGAGCCCCCCACGCCCTCCCCCACCATGCTATAAAAACTCCAGGGCTCAGTGGGCTGGAGGGGAGGCTCAGGGCTCCAGCCACTGGGCTGGCGGGGTGTGCTCGGGGCTTCTGCCCTGTGGCGGTGTGATGGGCTCTGGGATTCAGCTGCACCAGGGGTGTGAGAAAGGGGCGCGCCGGGGCTCAGGGCTTCAGTCCCATATGGCGGGCGGGGGCTCCACGCCACAGGGTGGCACTGGGGCTTGGAAATATTTCCCAGAGCTCTGCTCTGGCCAGATTTAAGCCCTGTTAGTGTGTCCTGGCTAGACTGGGTGAGCGTGTCTGATACTCAGCATGCTCGGTTTGGCAGCTAGAGCTGACACCTGCAGTAACAGCCCTGGGTCCCTGTGGGGAAGCAGACGGTGCAGATTCTCATGGTGCACCCAGTTCTGAATCCCCTCGCGCGGCTCTCCCCTGCGGATGTGCGGGCCGAACGAGAGAAGAGCTGGGTAGACATTCCCCCTGTCTGAACGGAAAGCCCCTGGTTTGGTCACTGCAGCACGTGCTGATGCTCCACTGAAATACACGCCAGTGTTTCCAGGAGCAGTTCAAGAAGGAGAAATGATGGTTCTGTTAAAACTCTTTCCCACTACGGCTTCCTGCCAACGTACGTTCAGTGTCCTCTGCCACCCTGCGGATACGGGGTTCAGGGGGAGTGGCTGACAGAGGAGATAACAGGGTATCTTGGTTATTCCTTTACTCCTCTTCTTTTGAAACCGTTCTACACGCCGGACACTGTGTCCCCCCATTTCTCACGTGTTCAGGGGTTACTGTACAATCGAGTGCAGTCTTTGTGGTTTGTTGATTCCTGCGATGATCCCATTGGAGATTTACATATAAACATCGATAGCAGCTTTTCACACATTCATTGCAGGCCTGTCTTTGCTCTCCTGGTTCAGATCTGCAGAGTAGACTGAAGCAGGCCCTAGTAGTGAAGCTTATATTCCTCCCCGTAGATTCCCGTGAATGGCTATATGGACTGTCTTGTGACCGTTAAAATGTCCAGTTGTGATGGACGTTCTTACATCCAGGATACAAAGGGGCGTGTTTCCCGGGGGACTCTGTAACTGTGCTTGCAAATATTGGGAGCAAATAGTGTTTGTGTGCACCCCAAACATGCTTTGTGCATGCGGTTGCTCATCTTGCATAGGCTGATGCACTTTTCGGGGCACAGACAGACGCATTCCACTTCTGCAGGTGCAACTAAGGCAACTTGCTGCAAATTTGGGCCAAAGCATGTTCTTTGTGAGAGGCCACTAATGAACCTTCGAGAGGAGACGAACCTTTCCTCTAGCGCTAGGCTGGTCCCTGGGGTGCTCTAATGTTTCTCAGCCTGATAAATAGACATGGATTCTGCTCTGTGCGTATTTGCTGGTGGGAACAGGAACTGGATGGTTAGACTGGACCTGCTCCTGCGTACTGGGTCTGGGCACGTGGCCCCGCTGTGGAGCTTTTCTCACATTCAGTCCTGTCTGGATTCTGAGTGGTTATTTTACAAGAAGCTGCGTCTTTGCACCTTCCTTGCTCAGCTCCGTTGGGCAGGCGTCTAGCGTTGCTCTTCTTTCACAGCTGGTAAATGTATATGGTCTCCTCCTTCAGCGGATCCCCAAGCGAGATAGGACTTCCAACCGAGACCGAAATCTGGCTCCCCATGGAGACGGCCCCCACGTTGAGTCTGCGCATGTGCGGCTTTACCGCGGCGTGCACTCTCTGGTGCCTCATGAGGTGTGTTTTCTTGCTGAAGCGCTTCCCACAGAGGTCGCAGGGGAAGGGCCTCTCCCCGGTGTGGATCCTGTAATGCGTGATGAGGTGCGTCCTCTGGTTGAAGCTCTTGCCGCACGTGGTGCACGCATAGGGCCTCTCTCCTGTGTGGATCCTCAGGTGTCGCTTCAGGTCCTGCTTGTGGCTGAATCCCTTCTCGCACTCCGTGCAGGCGTAGGGCCGGCTGCCCAGGTGGGTCTTCTGGTGGGTGATGAGGATGGACTTCTGGCTGAAGGCCTTGCCGCACTGGGCGCAGGGGAAGGGCCGCTCTCCGGTGTGGATGCGCTGGTGAGTGTTCAGGTGGGTTTTCTGGCTGAAGCTCTTCCCGCACTCGGTGCAGACGAACGGCTTCTTCCCCGCGTGGATCTTCTGGTGGGTGATGAGGTTCTTCTTCCAGCTGAAGCTCTTCTCGCACTCGGCGCAGGCGTAGAGGATCACGTCCCCGGAGTGGATCAGCTGGTGGGTGAGGAGGTTCTTTTTGCAGCTGAAGCCTTTGTCGCACTGGGTGCAGCTGAAGGGCCGCTCCCCTGTGTGGATTTGCTGGTGCCTCATCAGGTGGGTTTTCTTGCTGAACCCTTTCCCGCATTCGCTGCACAGGAATGGCCTCTCGCCCGTGTGGATCCGGAAGTGGGTCACCAGGTGAGTCTTCTGGCTGAAGCTCTTCCCGCATTCGCTGCAGGCGAAGGGTCTCTCTCCGGTGTGGATCCGGTGGTGCCTTATGAGGTCCTGCTTGTGGCCGAAGCTCCTCTGGCATACGGCGCAGGTGTAGGATCGCCTTTCGAGGTGCGTCTTCTGGTGCATGCTGAGCACGGATTTCTGGCAGAAGCTCCTGTCGCAGTGAGGGCAGTTGTACAGTCTCTTCTCCTCATGGGTCTTCTGGTGCGTGATGAGGTATTTCTTCCAGCTGAAGCTCTTCCCACACTTGGCGCAGCTGAAGGGCCGCTCCCCCGTGTGGATACGCTGGTGGGTGATGAGATTCTTCTTCCAGCCGAAGTTCTTCCCACACTCGGTGCACGTGAACGGCCGTTCCCCTGTGTGGATCTGCTGGTGCCTGGCGAGATCTTGCTTGTGGCTGAAGGTCTTCTGGCAGACAGAGCAGGGAAACGGCCGGGTTCCCGAGTGAGTCCTCTGGTGCCGCATCAGGTGGGTTTTCTTCCTGAAGTTTTTCCCGCACTCGGTACATGGAAACGGCCTCTCGCCTGTGTGGATTCGGAAGTGCGTTATAAGGTGCGTTTTCTGGACGAAGCTTCTCCCGCATTCAGTGCACTGATAGGGTCTCTCTCCCGTGTGGATACGGTAATGCCGTATCAGGTCTTGTTTGTGATTGAAGCCCTTCTTGCATTCCGTGCAGATGTACGGCCTCACTCCCATGTGGGTTTTCTCATGAGTCATGAGAAGGGACATCGGCCCAAAGCCGCTGCCACAACCAGTCCAGTTAAATGGAGCCTCCAGTGGGAGCTTTCCCTGGTGTGGTTCCAGCCCAACCTGATCCGCAAAGTTGTCTTCGTATTCCATGCACACGTATGGCATTTCTCTCTTCAGGTGTTCTTGGAAAAGTGCAAAATTCTCTATGTTGCCAAAGCCGGATTGTTCAGCCTCAGCCTCTAGAGTGCTCCTCGGCTGCCTTTGTGATTTGCATGGGATCCTGCAGACATTCCCCCAGTCTGAATTCACGGTCACATTCTCTGGGCTTGTTTCTGATGATCGGTCCGGTACCTCCAGTTTTATAGCGGAGGTCTCATGGGTTGCTTCAATGGGGCTCACCGGCTGCCTTCCTGATTTGCAAGGGATCCTGAAGATGCTGTCCCAATCTGAAGACTCAAAAACAGTGTCTTTGGCCTGTTCAGGTGATAGTTCAGGTGAGTCTAATTTCACAGTAAGTTTCTCATTCTCTGCTCTGGTGGGGTTCATCTGCTGCCTTTCTGGTTTGCACTGGATCCTGCAGATGTCTGAAGACGTGGAAAGATCTTCTTCAGACTTTTCTGATGAGGACTCACTTGGCTCTAACTTTATAGTTACCTTCTCATGCTTGGCTCCTGCATGGTACATCTGTTGCCTTTGTGGTTTGCACTGGATCTTGTAGGTGTTTCTCCAGTCTGGAGACATGGAGAGATTCTCTTCTGATCTCTCTGGTAAGGGGTCAGGTGGTTCTGATTTTATAGTAAAGTTCTCATCATCTACAACACAGAGACGAGAGTTCAGAATATTATTGCAAGGGAAGGTAAAACTTCTAATATCAACTCTTTCTGATTTCCAGTGTAATCCCATGAAGGTGTGTCTTACAGCAGCACTGGTTATAGGCCCCTTGTACCACCTCCATGTCTATAGTTACAAGGTTTAAAAGATTTGGAACTTTTGTAGGAAGTCATCATGCCAACAGGATGTTGCCTCTATGTTAGGATCTCAAAGCATTTTACAGGCATTATCTAGTCCCCAAAACCCATGCTGTGAGATAGGTAGGTAAGCAGTACTGGTATCATACCCGTTTTACAGAGTGGCTCACTGAGGCACAGTGAGATCAAGAGGTCACACAATAGGTTAGTGACAGAAAGCTGGGAACACAACTCAGGAGACCTTACTCCCACTATACACGCTGCTTCCATTCTTTCCATGATTGATTAGAATTTGCTGGTTACAGATCACATGATCACATGATCGTCTTTACTATTTTAATACTAGGTGGCATGTATGAAATATAGATTTAAAAAAAAATGCTGTCAGGTCACATCAGTTTGCAATGAGCCATAGGGTCATACCACTGTTTACTTATGAAGATTAAGATGACTGTCACATACAGCAGAACCTCAGCGTTACACACCCCTCGGGAATGCAGGCTGTTCGTAACTGAAATGTTCGTCACTCTGAACAGAACACTAGGGTTGTTCTTTCAAAAGTTTACAACTGAACATTGACTGAATGCAGCTTTGAAACTTGACTATGCAGAAGAAAAATGCTGCTTTTAACCATCTTAATTTAAACAAAACAAGCACAGAAACAGTTTCCTTGCCTTGTCAAATCTTTTCTTTTAAACGTTCCCTTTATTTTTTTAGTAGTTTACGTTTAACACAGGACTGTACTATCTTTGGTGGGGGTTTTTTTTATGTCTCTGCTGCTGCCTGATTGTGTACTTCTGGTTCCAAATGCGGTGTGGGGTTGACTGGTCAGTTCGTAACTCTGGTGTTCGTAATTCTGAGATTCTACTGTATTGTAAAAATTATCCTAAATTCCAAAAATTTTCACAGAAAAGATTGAGTAGGAAAATCCGTACCAGAACGTGTGATCTTAATCATATGCTATTCTTGATTTCTTATTTGCAATTCTCCCAGTCAGGAAGCACACACAATATCATGTGTCTTAATTTGCCCAACCACACAGCACTATAAGAAGCACTAATAATGAATAGAAATCATCAAAACAGACAGTTTGCAAACAGCCAACAGCCTGAAAATGACAGGCCCCCACTGCCCAGAGAATAACGAACCATTTGAAGAAACGGAGGATGGATTTGAGAGCGAGATTAACCAACGAGGTGCTAATTTTGTAGCAAAAAATTCAACAAGCTCTAGGTGAACAAAATCTTTGAATGGCATTTGAGAGCTCAGCCCACCAAGATGTGACGACTAAGAGGTAAGAACCTGACGCTGGGAAGAGACACCCTGTAACCTGACGAGCTTGTGGAATGTTGGCTTCATTCCTTCTCTGCCCCGTCTGCATCCGCCAAGAAAGAACCGGTGGAGCAGTCCTCAAAGCTTCGTGTTTAAATGCAACTCCACCCTAGGAAGCTGTGAGCCCATTTCTGCTGGCTAGGGCCGGCTGGGCCTACACCTGAGCGTTTCTGGAGCAGGTCTGATCCCTCACCTGTGAAGCAGCTTTGCGGAGTCCCCTTTTCCTCTGCGTCGCTCCATTCCCTGGGACGTGGCGGCTCCTCCCCTCGCTCGGTCCGTGGCGGGAGGGCACGTTTCATAACAGAATGACCTGCTGAGAGCGCAAGGCAGACCCAGTTAGTTTCCTTTTGCATCTTCCAGGCTTCAGAGTCTTCTGTGGCCCCTTGACAAGGTCCCCTCCTCCTAGTGAATGTGCCCCCTGGCAAGGTGAAAACTCCCCTCCCAGAGAGGGTCTTGCTTCTGCAAGCCCCACTCTTCCTACTCCCTCCCAAGGGTGGCCCCACTGCCCCTCAGGAGGGTCCCCCACTTTGGGTGTGTCCCCCCCATCCCACTGAGGGAGCATCTCTCCACTCGGCCCAGTCCTTCTCATCCCCCAGGAGCGTCCCTCCAGCTGGGGCTGCCCTCCTGGGACACAGAGACCGGGCCTAGCGTGCCTCTCCACCCCGCCCAGCTCTCCCACCACAGAGAGCCGGCTTAGCGGGCTGCCCCCCCGCCCCCCGATTGGAAACAGAGATACAGCCCTCTACGTAGCACAGGGGTATCCATCGCGCTGCCCCGCATCCTTCAGGGCCGATACCCTAGACAGCCAGTGCCATGGCAACCACTTGGGAGACAGTGCCCTAAATCGGAGGGAAACCAGGAGTCTGGGTGGGTGCTGTCTGCAGGTTCTGGGCCTCCCCACCCCTCTCACCAGGAAGAGAAGCGGGTGAGATGGAGCCATCCCCTTCCAGGCCTCACACGGCAACGGGACTCAACGGGGAGGGGGTTCTCACCTGGACTGTCGCAGACTGGGACCTACTCGCCATCAGCCAAGCCTGGCTGGCAACGTGATCCATGGCGTGGGAATACAGTGGCCCCACATAGGGGGACTGGCCAGCGCTGGGCAATATGCCTGCCAGGTCACTGGTGTGGACGTGGCCTGGGACAGTGGTGCACAGACGCCGCTGTGTGGGTGGGCTGGAGCGTCCCATTCCGGTACCTAGTGGCGCCCCTATTATAAAACCCACCATCACAGCGAATGCTCGTCAGCAGCCCCTACCCATCTCACGAGAGAGGCCAAGGAATGAGGGGGGGCTGGAGACGTGATTCCCCTCTCCCCCTTAGGGCCTAGACTGTATTTAAATTGTGCTAGTCCCTCTAGGGCTAGCCGCAGCCAGGTGACCTGGCTTTTACAGTGAGAAACGGAGTCTTTGCTAGGTCCTAAGTGGGGTGTCTAAGGGGCTCACCTAACAATGACCCGCTCTAAACTGGTGCAGACGGGTAGGGGTGGTGGTGGGGATCTGGCAATGCTGCAGTCCAGGCTGTACCTGCTCTGAGAATAAACAGGGGCTTTTAATCCCTCGTCTTGTCTCCCTCCCGGTACATTGCCCTGGAGGACCCCACATCACCACCCACCCCTCTGCCCCTCTGTTACTTTGAATGTTCTACTTCTGGATTCCACTGAGAATTGTCCCAGTCGCAGTGTGTGTGGAATAAGGGACAGTCACCCCTGAGGTCAGTGATTATAACACCCCTGGTGTGACAGGGCGCTGGGCAAAGGGCCGGCTGGGCCTACACCCTCTGTCACGCCAGCCCCCGTTTAGGGGAATACATTAGAGCTGGCTGGAGATAACCTGGCCCTATCTGGGGAAGCAGAGACAGCTGCCGCCCAATTACCCTGGGGCTGTATAAAAGCCTCAGGGGAAGGAAGAGAAAAGACAGGGAACGGAAGCAGCGAGGTGGCGATTCCCTCCTGCCTGCAGATGGTGAAGGGCCAACTGTACATGGTGAAACGGTGGTGGGAACAAGCCTGCAAATAAACGGCACCAGCGGTTACTAACCCCAGGGTCGCCGAGTGACGTTGTGGACCCAGCAGAGGCAGGAGCCAAGGGGCCCTGCCGCACTCTGCTACACCTGGCGTCAGTGGAGCTGTGGCTGCCCACGCCAGCTCCGAACGTAAGCACTCTGTGTGTCAGGGTTTTCTCTTGCAAACAACTTACTCCAGGGAGTAGCGCTTACTGCCATGAGTCACTCCACTGCTTTCAAGGCAGTAAGCACCACGCCTGGTCCGAAATGTCTGACAGCTCAGGACCCTGGATTTTAAATGTGGAAAAATACCACGCAGGAAGCCCCCAGCACTCGGGCTGGGAGGGGGAGTGCAGCCCCACCCCATCCAGGCAGCAGCCGGCTGCTCTCCTCTTCCTCCCCCTCCGGACTGCTGGGGACTCCTTGCGCACTGTCCCCGCGGCTGTCCTGCCCTGGCCCACCCGCCTGACCGGCCCCAGCACCATGAATTTTAAACCCTCCGGAGGCTGCAGGAGCTAGAGGCTCTGGGCAGGGGGGAGGAAGCACACGGTGCCCTGGTCTACTCCTGCACTGCGCTGCCGTGGGCTTCTCTGGAGACGTAGCCAGCCAGGTCCTGCCCCGACCTCGGGTGAGCCGCCTGCTCCGCTCGGTGAGTGGCTTTTGCCCCAGCTGGGCGGGAGTTTGGGGGCGGGCTGTTATGTGACTCCTGTGGAGAAGGGGTGCAGCAACAAAGCGAAGGTACCTTCGCTCTACAGCAATGCAGAGGAATATTTAAGAGAATATTTGTTCAGGTGGACGGTGGTGAGTTTGTTGGCTGCCCCAGGAGAGCAAGCACTGGAATAAATGCATGAATGAATGAATGACTAGGCATTTCTACTGCACGCATCACCTACAGCGATGATGATTTGCAGAAAAAAAGTTGCAAAACAAACCAACTAGGAGGGCATTTTTCAGAAAAATGTATTGAGGAGGGATAAGCCACAAGTCAGCAGTTAAGAACATAAGAGCGGCCACACTGGGTCAGACCAACGGTCCCTCTAGTCCAGTATCCTGTCTTCTGACAATGGCTCCCCAGAACTTCAGGGAACTGTAAAGAAGAGGGCAGCTGGGATAATCCACCCATCTTCTGGCAAACAGAGGCTAGGGACACTTCAGAGCATGGTTTGGCATCCGTCCCCATTCTGGCTAACAACCATTGATGGACCTTGACAAAGCCCTGGCTGGGATGATTTAGTTGGGGATTGGTCCTGCTTTGAGCAGGGGGTTGGACTAGATACCTCCTGAGTCCCTTCCAACCCTGATATTCTATGATTCTATGACCTGTCCTCCATGAACTTATCTAGTTCTTTTTTTAACCCCGTTATACTTTTGGCCTTCACAACATCCCCTGGCAATGAGTTCCACAGGTTAATTGTGCATTGTGTGAAAAAGTACTTCTTGGTTGTATTAAACCTGCTGCCTATTAATTTTATTGGGTGATCCCTGGTTTTCGTAGTGTGGGAAAGGGCAAATAACACTTTTTTCCACACCAGTCATGATTTTATAGACCTCTATCATATCCCCACGAGTCGTCTCTTTTCTAAGATGACAGCCCTAATCTTTTTAGTCTCTCCTCATATGGAAGCTGTTCCATACCCTTGATCATCTTTGTTGCCCTTCTCTGAACCTTTTCCAGTTCCCCTGTGTCCTTTCTGAGATGGGGCAACCAGAATTGGTCACAGGATAGCAGGTGTGGGCGCACCAGGGACTTACATAATGGTATGTGAAATGTTCTGCCTTATTTTCTATTCCTTTCCCAATAGTCCCTAACAATTCATAGATTCATAGATTCTAGGACTGGAAGGGACTTCGAGAGGTCATCGAGTCCAGTCCCCTGCCCGCATGGCAGGACCAAATACTGTCTAGACCATCCCTGATAGACATTTATCTAACCTACTCTTAAATATCTCCAGAGATGGAGATTCCACAACCTCCCTAGGCAATTTATTCCAGTGTTTAACCACCCTGACAGTTAGGAACTTTTTCCTAATGTCCAACCTAGACCTCCCTTGCTGCAGTTTAAGCCCATTGCTTCTTGTTCTATCCTTAGAGGCTAAGGTGAACAAGTTTTCTCCCTCCTCCTTATGACACCCTTTTAGATACCTGAAAACTGTTACGTCCCCTCTCAGTCTTCTCTTTTCCAAACTAAACAAACCCAATTCTTTCAGCCTTTTAGATCATTGCTGCACATTGAGTTGAACTATCCATGGAGACTCCAAAATCTCTCTACGCGGTAACAGCTAATTGAGAACCCATCATTATAAATGTGGTAGTCGGGATTATTTTTTCCCAGTGTGCGTTACTTTGCACCTGTCAAGGTTGAATTTCATCTGCCATGTTGTTGCCCTGTCACCCAGCTTTGTGAGGTCCCTTTGTAGCTCTTCGCAGTCTGCTTTGAACTTCACGGTCTTGAATCATTTTGTATCATCTGCAAACTTTGCCATTTCACTGTTCACCCCCATTTCCAGATGAGTGGGTCAGAGCAGAGGCATGTTACTGCCTTGTTTCCATTCACGGAGCACGATTCTGCTCTCACTTAAACCACGTTTACAGTGGTGAGTCTCCATGGACCTCACTGGAGTTACTCCAGATTTACATTAGCGTAACTGAGCTCAGAATCAGGCCTTAGTGGGATTTCAAAAGCACCTACGGGCCTAACCCATTGAAATCAAACCCTTAAAAATGTGGTCCAAACTGATAAACTGAAGTCACCCCAGCCATGCCCAGAATCAGGCTATCCGAAAAGCAAAGGCAAAACGATTGTTGATTTTTACCCATTGAGATCAGAAGCTCATAGTTGTCCCTCATGACGTCCCGGTAAAGCTCCCTCTGCCACTCTTCCAAAATCTCCCACTCCTCCGGGGAGAAATAGACACTGACATCCTCAAACGTTACCAGGCTCTGAAACACAAACAGCGACCCGCTCAGCACCCTCCTGGAACGGGAAGGGCTATGGTATCGGTGTGAGGTTAAAAGCTGCTGTGTGTGTGTGTGCGCGCGCGCGCGGGGGTTAACAGCGTGTTAAGTGGGAAGCAGGTGAACAAATTCCGGGAACCGGAGGGTTTATAACGGGATTGTGAGACTGCTCGGTTCTGGAACCCTTGTGCGGCACGTACCTTCCTGAAAACTGCCATTTGCCCTTCAACTAGCTACAGGCATATGGCGTGTCTTGTGGGTGCAAATACAGCGCTCGTTATCTCCAATACATGGCACTGCCTTGCCGAGGAATGGTTTGTCTGCACGGATCGTTACTTTCAGCTCCTCCACAGAACATGCCCAGCCTGTGCAGAGCAGTTACACATTTAGGTGACCATAACCCTGGGTTATTTTTCTAATTCTCTTCCCAAGTACAACAGCTATTAACGCTGCAGAACCTATGATCCAAACCCCTTCCAACGCGGAGGGGCTGGATACGGACTCTAGTTGGATTCTAAACCTGGCAGGGTCTTATTTTCCTGTCCTGGCTAAAGCGGAAACCTGTTCTCATGTGATTTTGGCCTCATGTGGCACAAGCCTTGAGAGCAGCTGCTCTCGTGAGGTCTCTGCTGTTTGGGGATGAAATCCCACAAGAACGGCCGGGCTCCATGCCGCTGAATATAACCCACTAGTCCTGGTTCCGCCTCTAACCTGCGCTCCAGTCTAAGGGCAGGTCTTCACTACCCGCCGGATCGGCGGTGATCGATCTATTGGGGGTCGATTTATTGCGTCTAGTGTAGACGCGATAAAATCGATCCCCGATCGCGCTCTCCGTGGACTCTGGAACTCCAGCTCGCGAGAGGCAGAAGCGGAGTCGACGGGGGAGCAGCAGCGGTTGACTTGCCGCTGTCCTCACGGCCAGGTAAGTTGACCTAAGATACGCCGACTTCAGCTACGCGTATCTTAGGTCGACCCCCCCACTAGTGCAGACCTGGGCTAAGACTCTAGATAATCCCCTTCCATGAGCCATCTCTAAAACGAGGTTCTTCAGCCCGCGTGCACTTCTCAACCATCTCAGGCCACGTTTTCAAATGGAACATGCACCTGCTGACAGCTACAACACCTCCCCGGCTCTATAGAGAGATGCGATGCTGCAGGACAGACCCCTCAGATATGACAGCCTGGCACCGCTTTGCTGTGTAGGGCAGATGGGGGCAGTGCGAATGTGTCTATTCCCTGCTCCTAGGCAGCGCTGGTCTAAGAGCTCTGCTCCAGGAATTATTTGGGGTCCGTTCTCTGGCCTGTATTACACAGGAGGTCAGAGGAGTTGATTACAATGAACAGTCCCGCCTGGCCTGGGAATCTATGACTTGATAATGGAGCCCCAGCAGAGACAGGCATTTTACCCTTTCATTAGACACTGCTCCAGTAGAACAAAATCCAAGTCTCCACCTGTGGACTTAGAAACCTGCAGGCTGCAGCTAGGGCAACCAGATGTCCTGATTTTATAGGGACAGTCCCTATATTCAGGGGTTTGTCACCCCCCATCCCTGTCCCGATTATTCCACTTGCTGTCTGGTCACCCTAGCTGCAGCCAGGATGAGTATCAGGACACAGAGACACATTCTGCTTTCAGGGGGAGGGATAGCTCGGTGGTTTGAGCATTGGCCTGCTAAACCCAGGGTTGTGAGTTCAATTCTTGAGGGGGCAACTTGGGGATCTGGGGCAAAATCAGTACTTGGTCCTGCTAATGAAGGCAGGGGGCTGGACTTGATGACCTTTCAGTTCAAGGTCCCTTCCAGTTCTAGGAGATGGGATATCTCCATTAATTTTGGGATGATTTAGTTGGTGTTGGTCCTGGTTTGAGCAGGGGGTTGGACTAGATACCTCCTGAGGTCCCTTCCAATCCTGATATTTTATGATTCTATAAATCTGGAGCCACTCCACTTAATTCAGTAGAGCTGCTCTGGATTTACCCCAGCGTAACTGAGATCGCAATCTGCTTCCTGACAGGTTCTTCGGGGTGTTTATCATTGATCTGCAGACACGATGTCCAGGGTAAATGTCCTACCTGAGCGGAGATCTCCTCAGCCATTCCCCTCTGGGGCTGGGATGCGCCGGGTGTAGATGGGCTCTCTTGGCTGGAACTCAGCAGATAAGGAGGACTCCAGATCTGGTCTTTTTTATCAATCAGTATTTAGAGATCCTGTTTTTTCTCTTAATGGCTGCCGGCGCAGAGGGGCTCTGGTCTGATTTCAGCAGTTACCAGGAAAGGCACTGAGAGATTAGAGAAAGGAGGGAGCTCTGCAGCAGGACTATAAGGTTGTTTTTTTAAAGCAAACGCTGACAAACTGAGGATGCTGAGGAATAAGGCAGTTACCCACAGAGGTCACATGTGCTGTGTTAGACCCATAGAGCCCCCTCTATTGTAAGGTTTTTACTCCTACCGAGCTGCAAAGCACCCTTGGGAGCTGTAGTCCTTCCCCGGAAGGTACTGCAGCTGCCTGGAATCACAGCACAGACTCTTTTTAACCTTGTCAGGGAGGGAGAACTACACTTCCCATCAGCCCACGGAGCGGTCATGCAAACCCTTTGTTTTCTGCAGGCTGCTGTGCCAAACCTTCCCACACTGCCAGCAAAGCCCCTCCCCTCTGCATTACAAACCAGTCTCTTTACATTTTGGAATAAGTAACCAGAGACTAGGGGTCTGATCTAGGGTGACCAGACAGCAAGTGTGAAAAATCGAGACAGAGGGTGGGGGGTAATAGGCACCTATATAAGAAAAAGCCCCAAAGATCAGGATGGTCCCTATAAAATCGGGACATCTGGTCACCCTCGTCTGATCCTCCAGCCCTCAATGGAGCCACTTGCATGAGTAGAGTCCTCTGATGTGGGCACAGCTTTTCAGGGCCACCCTCCGATGTTGGTGGGCACCTTTTAACGGTGGGCATGTACTGTAGCGTTTAGAGAGTGAAGTATGTGCACCCAGACTGGCGTGTGGGGCAAACATCCTGGCACTATTTACTGCAGGTGCAAACGTACTTGGGGGAAAAGGGCTTGGTACAGGTTTCTTTACATATCAAGTGCATTGGTTTTGCTTAGATACTACGGTGATGGGCATGTTATAAACCCGTGGATACGATTAGATCATGGATGATTCACCACCATTTAGTCCTGTGGATTATCTTATTACTGGTCATTTTAAAACCAAGGCAGGCTGTTTGTCTAAAGAGTGCTGCTCTAGGAATTATTTGGGGGGTAGTTCCCTGGCCTGTGTTATACAGGGGGTCGGACCAAATGATCCCAAAGGTCCCTTCTGGCCTTGGAAGCTAGAAATACAACATCCAAGCTGCCCTCTAACCGTGTCTGTACATTTCATCCTCTCTCCCCTCCCTGTGTCAACTGGCAGAGTTCTGCACACACCACAGCCGAGGGGAGTTTTCGGAAGGGATTTACAGGCAGAGGCTGATAGCTGGACAGATCTTGCTGGGGAACTTCTACTGAAGAAAGCACAGGCATGTCTGAGGCCCGAAGCGGAGTGGTGGACGGCGAAGGCTGGGTGATTTGTCAATGCGAAGGTGGGGTAAAATACCAGATCAGAGGGGGTGAGGCTAAGTCACAAAGTGCCTTACAAGGAAAGACAAGAAGCTGGTGTTAGCTACAGTGGAGAAGGGGGAGCCAGTGGAGGGACAGAGCGGGGCTGGATGAAGTCAGGATGACCTGAAGCAGGAAGGTGTTAGCAGCAGTGTTCAGAGGGGGCCGATAAGGATTGTGAGTTTCCCTAGCCCTTAACAGAAGGGATCGGGGCCAGGGCTGAATTTTTAACAAAGACAAACTTTCTTCCAAGTGTTTCTCGGGCATCTGAGTTAAATGTGTCGACAAAAGCAAACAAAACCCAAAGCGTTTTAAATGCACTGAATAACAATGATCTCCCCACTCAATGAATCAACGGTCACTTGAATGGTCTCTCTAGTGCCCTAAGTCTAGTTCTGTTTGTCCGTCTGTCTTTTTATACCATCCTCATCTTCATAGTATTGGAACATCTCCAGCCATTCAGAGTTTTCTAGTCATCCATAGAGTCTTCCAGGAAAAAACAGATTAAACAAGACCTACATTTCTAATGTAAAAAGCAAGGGGGGGGGAGGGGGGAAATGCCTTTTTTAATACATCATGCACTTTTTTAAAAAAAGGCACAAATTCATTTTACCCCTTTGCAGGTCGCTTTCTGGACTGTCTTTGAGCCGGGGAAGCGGGCTGGTCTGGGAGGATACAGATACTATCAAACATCCTGGAGGTACAGAGGACAGACGTGTGTCTGCAGTGGTGTTGTCGCCTGTGGGTCCCAGGAGATGAGAGACACAAGGTGGGGGAGGTGAGATCTTTTATTGGACCAGCTTCTGTTGTGGGGCCAGAGAAGCTCTGACACTCCAGGGAGCTCTGCTCTCCGGCCTGATCCTGGGGGCCGGGGTGTGTCTGGCCAGTCTCCTCTCCAGGGCGGAGGCCTGTCAGCCCGTTCCCACCCCCTGATAAAACAGGAAATTGCAGCGATCGCAGGCAGCCTCCTTCCCTTGCAGGAAGTGCTCCAGCTGCTCCCAGGGATGCATTGCAAGGCGGCGAGCCCCGCACAATGGCGCAGGCTCGGCGTGACTCGCCAAGGGCGAGCTGATGTCCCGGCGTCGCCTGGCCACTAGCCCGTGCGGTGTGAATCCGGCCTGTCCTGCTTCCCCAACGCCGCCTCTCCCTCCCCTGCCCGCCCGGGGCGCCCTGCTGCCGTTAGCGGACGAGGAGAAAGCGAAGCGAGACGCAGCGAGCTCCGCATTGCAGCCCGGCGCACCTCCCCGAGGCAGGCCCCGCAGACTCCGCGCCGGTCGGACGCTCCCAGCCAGTTCCCGTCCCGTTTGCACCGAGGGAGCCAGGGGAGTCGCCCCCGGGACCAAGCCCCTGTCTCCCGGGGAGCAGCCCGGGCTGGGCGGTTGTACACAAACCTCCCGGCGGGTCCCGGACCGGGGCAGTGTCCGCGCGCGGCCACGCCGGAGTGAAATCGGATCCGGGTAAGGGCGTTCGCGTGGGTGTTCCGCAGCACGAAACGCGCGTGGGAGGGGCACCGCGACTTGCTGCTTCGCGTGGCCGGGGCCCGGCGGGGCTGTACCGGGGTGGACGCGGGTGGGTGGGTGTTGGGGGGCAGCACACGCCGGTGCATTCACACGGCTCTTCCCAGGCAGAGCCCACACTGCAGACCCACGGGCGCGGCCCCTGCTGTCCGAGAGGCTGCCGGCACAAGGGAGTGTCAACCGCTGCCCTGCTCCTAGTGAGTACAAACTCTGCCACTGCCTGGCTGCGCGACCTTGGGCAAGTCCCTTCGCCTCTGGCTCGCTGTAGAAGGAGGTTAACGCCTTGCCGGGACGCGGTGGGGCTCAGCGAATGGACATTTGGTCCTGGCTGCTGGGGATGTAACACGCTGCCTGCCCTGTCTACATGCGGAGCACAGCGCCGGGCACTACGGGCTGCACAGGGCCCAGCGGGCAGTACTGTCTGATCCACGGCTCAGCCTGATTCCTGGCATGCTGGGACTCTGGCCCATTGCATGCTGGGACTTGTCTCTGTGGGCTGCAATATGAAGGGGGAGTTTGGCTGATCCCAGCCTCACGTTGTGGAAAGGACATTCATCACTATGGGCACGTCTTCACTACCCACCGATCCAGCGGGTAGCAATCGGTCTCTCGGGGATCGACTTACCGCGTCTAGTGAAGATGCGATAATATCGATCCCTGATGGCTCTACCGTCGACTCCGGAAATCCACCGCGGCAAGAGGCGGTAGCGGAGTCGACGGCGGCGCGGCAGCAGTCGACTTGCCGCCGTCCTCACAGCCAGGTAAGTCGACCTAAAATACGCCACTTCAGCTACGCTATTCACGTAGCTGAAGTTGCGTATCTTAGGTCGACCCCCCGCTGTAGTGTAGACCTAGCCTTGGACTCCTGGGTCTCCACGCAGTCACCTGCTGGGGAAATTTTGGGCACCCTCATTCAGCTGCTTTAGCGTATACCTAGGGTGACCAGACAGCAGATGTGAAAAATCGGGACGGGGGTGGGGGGCAATAGGAGCCTATATAAGAAAAAGACCTAAAAATTGGGACTGTCCCGATAAAATCGGGACATCTGGTCACCCTAAGTATACCAAGGCTCCTCATGCAAAGGGACAACTTCCCTCTGGTTGCAACGTATTCAAACGATGAGGAATCCCCCAGCCACCAGCCAGATCACCTTGGGCTGTGATCCCATCATGCCGTCCCACTAAGCAATCAGGCGAGGAGAGTTGGAGACCTTCCAGGAACACACAGATGTGGTAGGAACAAGTGGTGAGATTGAACAGATGTCACTCTTCCCTCTACTCCAGTACTGAATAAATACCACCGTGTAGCCGTTCACCGGTCACTGTTGCTATAGTTACCATCCTTCGGGTGAGGTATAAAAGACAGCCAGGCCCTGATCACTGATCGTCATTACAGGGGCCAGGGCACGCTTGGTAAGAGTCGGTGCCCTGTTTGACTCGATTGGTTACACTGTTCTTATTTAAATTCCCCTGCAGCTGAAATTGGATTCTTCATTTTGAGTGCTCAGCTGTTGTGTAGCATTGTTGTGTGGTGTTTTAGGGCTTCTGTATTCCACCCTAGAGGAGGCTGCATTTCAGCGTGATCCCGTTAATCTGTGTATCCGTTTATATTTGTCAACGGCACTGGGGCTATTCCGAGTAGAAGTGGAGAAATCAATGGAACGGGGGTGTGGTTAATAATAATAAAACCCAGATGTCTTCAGGCAGAGTTAATGGCTGTTGATGCTGAAAGTGGCAGTGAGGAGACTGTTTAGTGTTAAACTGTGTGTTCATGGCTCTTTCCCCCCGGGGCCTGGATTAATATCTGCAGTGTGTTTGTTTACCCAGGAGATGACGGTCCCATGAGTGCGGATCAGGAGCAGGATCTCATGACTCACCTGACGTCCCCCCCCGGAGAAAGGCCATTTGCATTTCCGGCTTGCGACGAAAGCTTTAGCGATGAGAGAAATCTCATAATCCACAGCCAGGCGGAGGAGCAGGAGTACAAATGCATTCTGTGCGGGAAATGCTTCAACCAGCAGCCCAGCCTGACCCGGCACCAGAAGAACCACGCGGGGGAGCGGGCCTACATCTGCCCCGAGTGCGGTAAGAGCTTCAGCCTCAAGCACAACCTGATCATCCACCAGCGCACGCACACGGGCGAGCGGCCCTACAAGTGCAGCGTCTGCGAGAAGAGCTTCAGCCTCAAGCAGAACCTGGTCACCCACCAGCGCATCCACACCGGGGAGCGGCCCTTCGCCTGCCCCGAGTGCGGGAAGAGCTTCCGGGAGCAGCGGTTCCTCCTCAACCACCAGAGGACCCACACGGAGGAGCGGCCCTACGAATGCAGCGACTGCGGCAAGTCCTTCAAGGAGAAGCAGACGCTGGCCAGCCACCAGCGGACCCATAGCGGGGACAGGCCCTACCAGTGCACCGAGTGCGGGAAGAGCTTCAGTCAGCGCACGTTCCTGGTGACGCACGAGAAGACCCACCAAGGGGGGAGCTCGTTCCCCTGCGGCGAGTGCGGGAAGAGCTTCAGTTGCAAGAGCGGCCTCGTCACCCACCAGCGCATCCACACCGGGGAGCGGCCCTTCGCCTGCCCCGAGTGCGGGAAGCGCTTCAGCCAGAAAGGCTCTCTGAAAATCCACCAGAGAATCCACACCGGGGATACCCCCTTCACGTGCCCCGAGTGCGGGAAAACCTTCACGCAGAAGATAAACCTGACTACGCACCAGAGAACCCACCTGGGAGACAAAGCCCTCACATGAGCCTGACGTCATGTTAAAAGCTTTACAGAGCGGATAGCTCTGAACTCCGCTGGGAGCTCCCGGAGGGGCCCAGGACTGCACTGCACGTGAGAGGCTGAATGGCAGAGACGCCATGTGAACGTTCTGAGTGTCCAGAGTCGCTCCTTATATACCCCGGAGTCCCCACAGGGGTGACTGATTGTCTTCACGCACTGACTCTGGGGCCCCCTTTACAGTTCCTCTTTCCATTGGCCAGTCAGGTTCGTGCTCTTCATGCCCACCCCACATAGAAGCCCCAGAAGGAATCCCAAGTCCCAGCCCCCTGGCTCCATGGTGATGGCCTCGCCCTCCAGCAAGGCACTCTCCACCCACGTCCCTCTCCCAGCTCCCTATCCCTGTCCCAGCTCGCTCGGCTCCCTGTGCTTGGGAGCAGATGAGCTAAACAATGAGGGAAACTCATGGCGAAGTTCTTTACTGCTGCTGTAGGGACTGATCCTGTGAAGGGCTGAGTCCCGTCAGTACCCTTCAGCCTCCATTGGAGACGCCTGACATCTTGCAGGATCAGACCTGGCTGGCCTGCTTTTCAGAGGTGCTGAGCACCCACTCCTGCTGGCTCCCATGGGAGCTGTGAATGCCCAGCACCCCTGAAAACTAGGAACAGCTCCCTTTGCTTTCTCTCCGTCTTGGAGCATTGCAGCCTTCAGGACCTTAAAGCCTGTAGTTCTGGCCTGGCCAAAATTCAGCCCTGGGATCACTGCAGGCCACAGTCTTCTACAGGGTGGCCCTGGTCTTCCATACGGTGTTGGCCTGGCTGCTCAGAGCAAGTCGAGGCCAGGCATGCTGGGATCCGGGTTCTCCGTAAGCCCCTCCTCCATATTAAGGGTTAGGGCAGCTGCACTCACTTTTTGCCAATTAGACACGGCCCGTGGAGTGTTGGTTAAACACTCAGCTGGGCAGTTTGGGTGTTTCTGCCGCAGCCCCTTTTGGGATAGCGGAAGCACGAAGGGACCAGCTGCTCTGAGTTAGGGGAATGCAGTGAGGGCGGCTGGTGCCAGTGAAAAGAGCAGAGGGGTGCGCCCAGAGAAAGCAGATGTGGCAGCACCATCCCAGCCCTTGGCTGAATTAATAGCACCTTGTGACCATTGCAGAGCAGTTGTCAGTCATGTTTGCCCGGCTTCCCCTCACCCAGCTCTCGCTCTGGGCTGTTTGGCCCTGGCGCTGGCCCGTAAAGCACTATTTATTTGTGCTCGGTATTGTTTGCATTATCCGGGTAGTTGGAAATTTTCCACTAGTGCATGAATTAATCTCTGAATGTGTTCATTTACCCAGGGAGCGAGAAGGATGAGTGTAAAAAAGAAGCAGGGTCTCATGACTCATGTGAAATATTAATACATTGTATATGTGGGAAAAGCTTCAGCCCACAGCCACCTCTCCTAGAAACCACACAGGAGAGAAGGTGGCACCTGAAGCAGGATCTCATCCACCCCAGAGAAACTGTGTTATCCTCATAATTAATTTAAAAAAAAAAAAAAAACTTCAGAGACCAGAGATTTCTTCTAAATCACCAGGGACCCTGCACGGAGCAGAGACTAAGCGACTACAGTCCTTGCTGCAAAACCTTCAGGGAGAAGCAGGCTCACAAAACCCCAAAGACCATCCCAATGAACTGAATGTGGGAGAGGCTTGGTCTGAGGATGTTCCTGGTGACATCTGAGAAAATCCGCAAAGGAGGGGCCCCATTTACCTGCTCTGAGCTTGGGACACGCCTCAGCTGTCAGAGTGACCTCATTATAGTCCAGAGAATCCATACCAGAGGAGACCATTTAAATGCCCCGAGGGCAGGCACGCTCCTCACAAGATAAATCTGCATGAGTGAGGTCACTTACCCAGAACTGAAGAACTAGGGAGCTGCAAAGATAAGCTAAGAATAATTCTCTCCTCTGCAGGAACCACTGGGTATCGTTTTGTGACTTGGCCGGTGCAGGAGGTCTGATTAGAGGAGCACAGTGATTTCTTCTGGCTTTAAATTCCGTGAATCTGTAATTCTGAATATAGGCCTGAGACCTCCTGAAGGTGGGAAAATATTCTGTTAAAACACAAGGAGAGACATCATACAAATGTCATGTATGTTGGAAAAATCTTGTTCGCTCCCCTTGCTGTACAGGACAGCAAGAAATCACCAAGTGGATGCACTGGAGTGTTTGCTCCCTGTTTGCTGTTACAGGCCAGTTCAAGGAGCGTTGCTATGCCAGTGGCATGTAATTGCATCCCTGTTTTTCCCTTTGTGGTATTTCCCACCTCTTGTTCTAGTCTCTTCTGGTCCTTTCTGGTTGGGTTTGTGATGTTCTGTTCTATGCCCGAAGATTCTGGGCAGAAGGGGAAGGTTTCATTAATGTTCCAAAAGGAGGCAAGTTTCTGCTGCATGTGAGGAGGGCAAGAATTCAGTCTGTTTCCTCTGGGAGAGGCAGCTGCTGGAAAAGGCCATCAGTGCAGTCAGCATAAAACGCAAGAGATGTCCAACACAGACAGTTCCTGCCTGTGTCACTCTCAGACGTTCAGATGAGTAAAACAGAAATGGTTTGAAAAAATGAATTTTCCTTTCATAGTTTTCTGCCGTTTGCTCATTGTTACATGTCACTCTGCCTGGACAATGAAACCAGATTGGTCAGTTTTAGTTTCTAGCCATTTTCACTTTCTGGGTCTCCCCATGGGCATATCCTTACTGGGTTCCCAGTGCCACAGGGGAATATTAAACATCTGGGAGGAGGGAGATCATTTCAGTGGAGCTGTTCTGGGGTAGAATTAACCCATGGATTTCAAGTCATAACCGCTGATATAGCCAGAGATTAACATCAGAGATCAGACTTTAGGGCCCAGTCCAACTCCTGTTGAAATAAATGGACAGGCTCTCATTGCCGTCAGTGGGAATAGGAGCAGAACGGCTCAATCCTGCAAGGTACTGAATACTCTGCCCTTGATCCAGCAAAGCAAAGCGCTTTAGCACATGCACTGGTGTCAGTGTGACCGCTCACCGGCTTAACGTTAAGCAAGGGGTAAGTGCTTCGCTGGATCAGGGTCAGAGGCCTTAGTGACCGAGGAGCAAATATGATAGGGGATAGGGTACCCACCCTGGATGAGAGAGCACGTGTAGCTCATTGTCAGAGATTCATGCAAACACTCCCATCGGTACAAGGTTTTTGAGATCCTCACCCTCCCAACACCCTTTATTTAAAAAAAAAATAAATCTAAATGTCTGTAACCCCAGAGGATTGGCTGGGTAAGTTTCTCTTTGGGAATGCACGGGTACCATTTCTATGACTGGAAAGTGCCGCATTCCTGATTAAGAGGCACGTGATGGCTCGTATTTCTATAGAGGATCCTGGGTCTTTAACTCTGTTTGAATTCTTGTAGTGATCCCTGCCTGGGCAGAAGGGGTGGTAGAGATGGGTTGATTAAAGGATGTGAAAATAAGACAGGAGGGTGTAGGGGAGGGGCGTGTCTGGTGAGGGTTAATCCTGGGGGGAAGCAGCTATTAAATGGGGGATGGAAATGATGGGGTGTCTCTCTGGTACTGTAGCTGGAATGCTAGAGATCAATAAAGGAAGGTGTGGTTTGAAAGGAACTCTGCTGTGTGATGATTGATTTAGGTGAAAATCTGTCCTGATCACGGCTCACCCATGATTTTCCAGCATCAGCCCCTGGTTAGGTGTAATGAACTGGCTGCATAGATACGGCTATCCCCACTCTCACGGCCCAGGAACTTCAGCGCTTAAACCACTGTCTTCTACCAGTTCAGCTAAAGAAAACAACAACCACTCACTATTAGCTTGAGGCAGTAGCAGACTGTGGTGGTCACTGGGGCTTGGGAGACAATCACATGCACTTAGCCAAGGGGAAACCTTTAGCCCTGGAGCGACGATGGCCGTCAGAAGCAGCGTCCCATCAGCCCGTGGGAGGCCCTGTGGGCACGGGGAACGTACTCAATTTTCAGAACTCAAGGCCACATGCAACAATTCACAGAGACTTAGGTCCAGTTCCTCCCCTCTGCTTCCATGAGCATAAGGGACGTGGGGTTGGCAGAGGAGGGATGCTGGGTGGGGGAAATGCTACCCTCACATCCTCCTCCCCATGGAAGCTTCTCCAGCAGAGCTCAAGGCCCCATAGGGACGCCATCCACGGTTGTGCTGATCACCTCCTCTTCCAGAGCATTCCCGGAGAGGTTAACCAAACCAGGCCCTCTCCCCAAGACAGGGGATACTCAGAACAGATATGGGGTGGAGCGGGAAACAAGCCCTTCTCGCCCTCCCAGCTTTCTCTGTTCCATCAGTTCCCTCCTGCTGCCCAACACCTCTGCTCGGTAATGATCTTATAGCCGTATTCTTGGGGCTTGTCCCTGCATGTTCAAGGGCCCTGGCAGGCAGCGCCAGGAGGCAAACGGGATTTATTCAGATGAAAGGAAGAGATCCACACAATAAACTGGGTTTCTTCAGAGATCACTTGCCTTCAGGGTGGAGTTTCAGGAGATAATCCGCTGGGTTTCCCAAACAGCACCACCAAGGGGCGCTAGGTGAACGTGTGCATTTCCCATGTCCTTGCTGAACCAGTGGCACTGTTAATGCAATGAGAACGCCAGTCTCAGTAACTCATTGCAGGCTCTGAATTTGTCACCTAATCTCCTCCCACTGGAGTAGTTCTTCCACACAATCCCGTTGGACCTAAGATGAAGGACTCCGCCGTAGCTAATGAGAGTGGCATCTCCATGTGCCCCAGCTCCTCGCACAGGTCTGGTTTGATCCCTATGAGCCCCCTGGTGCCAGCTGGGGTCTTTGAGCTGGTGCTCTGGACGGTATTTCTCTGCGTGTACTGAGCCTCAGGGCCTGCCCGGAGTATCAATCAGTGAACTGTTGGCTTCTTTCCCGGGGGTGGGAGGAAGAGTTGTTTAACCCCATGGAACGGCCCAGTCCGTATGCCTATGGCCTGAGGGGGAGAGGACAGTTCTCAGCTAGTCGCATAACCTAGCGTGTGGTCCTCTGAGCCCATCCTGCAGCTCATCTCTTTTACTCCCTACTGTGGACCCTTGGAAGGCCCCACTCTGGCCAGAGCTGTCTTGGGACAGGACTGCACGTCTGGGGTCAAGAGGCAAGGAGTGCTCTACCAGTGCAGGTAAGTGTACTGCCGCTGCATGCCACAACCCAGCCCCTGCCGGCCTGGGCGCAGGGGACCAATCCAAGAGCCCAGCACCTGGCATGCACATGGCTGCTAGAACCAGGAACTACATTAAACAAAGCAAAACAACAACAAAAACCCAGTCCCAAACAAAACTGAGAATTTTCTTCTAACCACTTAACTATCTAGAAAGAAATTACCCAGCCTCAGCTCACAGATAAGGAGAATTGTGCAGTATCAGGCTAGCAGGTCCGTGCAAAAAGTTGTGTTCTGCATGCAATTGTTAGCACTAGTGTGTGTCTGGAGCCAGGGACGGGGGAAAGCCACAGTGCTATGGTGTTCTCAGGGCCATCCCTGTGTTCTTGGGTTTGAGGAGCCCCACTGCTGCAGGAGTGCAGCTGAGTTGGTCGTGGGACGTCTATGGACATGTGGCCATGGGCCGTTATGCTGTATCCGAGAACTTCCCAGCCCATTTAAACATTGTAACATGAACTCTTCAAGGACCAGTAGGAAATGCTCTGATAACTGATGCGCTGGTCACTTTTTTGGAATTTTCTTCCCATTTGATTTTTGAAAACCAGTGCTAACAATTGCATGCAGAACACAACTTTTTGCTGCCACATCATGTGTCTAATTTGCTGACCACTGTCAGACCTGGAATCATAGAATATTAGGGTTGGAAGAGACCTCAGGAGGTATCTAGTCCAACCCTCTGCTCAAAGCAGGACCAACACCAAGGGGGGGGAGGGACAGCTCAGTGGTTTGAGCATTGGCCTGCTAAACCCAGGGTTGTGAGTTCAGTCCTTGAGGGGGCCACTTAGGGATCTGAGGCAAAGTCAGTATTTGGTCCTGCTAGTGAAGGCAGGGGGCTGGACTCATTGACCTTTCAGGGTCCCTTCCAGTTCTAGGAGATAGGTATATCTCCATATATTAACTAAATCATCCCAGCCAGGGCTTTGTCAAGCCGGGCCTTAAAAACCTCTAAGGATGGAGATTCCGCCACCTCCCTAGGGAACCCATTCCAGTGCTTCACCACCCTCCTAGTGAAATAGTGTTTCCTAATATCCAACCTAGACCTCCCCCACTGCAACTTGAGACCATTGTTCTGTCATCTGCCACCACTGAGAACAGCCGAGCTCCATCCTCTTTGGAACTCCACCTAGGTCCATTCCAGCCATTTCTGCTTCCCAGGTGTCTCCTTCCCCACTGTGTACGTGAGATTCTGGTTACTTTCCTTGACATGTTCTAACTGCTTTTTTTCCAAGTTGATCTTAATTTAGTTATTTCCTGCCCAGGTCTCTAATGCCACTAGAATCCTTGGGATTATTTCCATGTCTTGTCTGATGTTTGCAACTCCTTCCAATTTGGTATCATGTAAAGATTTCATTTGTGTGCTGGTCACCTCCTCTTTCAGATCATTGACTGAGATGTTAACTAAAACAGGACCTCTCACCAGTTCCTGTAAAACCTGTGAGACACCTCCCTATAACTGGTTACATGACCATTTCTGATTACTCTTTGTGAAAATACCCCAGTGATGGGAACCATAATAAGAACATAGATAGGTTAGACTGACTGGTCTTCCAGCCAATTTTCAATCCAATATGAATTAACTTTTCAAAGAAAATTTTGTGAGTCACAGAATCAAAATGTTTGACTAAAATTCAAATATATTTCACATTTCTGATTTATTGCAGTCACTTTAACCACTAATTTGCCGTTCTGCCAGTTGTGTTTGTATAGCAAATTTTATTCTTTTCACAGAGAATCTCCTAATACATCTCATCTTTTCTACATTTGCCTTACAATCATCCGCACCTCAGGTTAGGGTTAATTATAGACAACCAATTTGTGTCTTGTGCAACGCCAAACACATTCTCTGTGCCTAACGTATTCCTCATAACAATTAACCCATGCTCATTATTGCTCATGGCTCTGTTCCTTGTGGCTGATCAGTGATTTTTTTTCTCTTATGTTTTACTGTTTTTACTAGGGCTATGAGATACAGACCTGAACTGCCAAGATCACTCTCCTTACCACATTTGAAAATCAGTACCACATTTAAAGAGAATTCTGTGCTACATCTTTCTACAAAACAAAAGGTTGAGTAGCTTCTATCTCACCACAATTAAATGGTAAGGAACAGACATCAACAACTCTTGGTGCTGATTTTAATGTTTGTGCATTAAGGACCATATAGTAGACAGGAACTCTAAACTGTAAAATCAACGAGGCGAAGCCTTTCCTTTATACCTGTCTGTAAACTGCTCAGCACCTGCTGACATTATGCAAATAATAAATAATAGTAATACATTCTAAGGAAGCCGGCATTCACAGCCTGAGTGTGCGTCATACAAATGGCACAGTTACAGCTCATTCATCTCCCGGGTCACCTTTCAAACCCTCCTTTTCTCTGGCATTGCCTTGTGTGATGTTTCCCAGCACCCAATTTAATCACCCAATGTCCCAACAGGTAAAGGACTTGTTAAGAATTACCCATGCATTGGCAGGAAACAGAATGGAAACGCTTGTGTCCTCACCCACAAGACTTCTGCTTCACAGCATGACATTTTTTGCTTCCATTTGCTGTGGTTGGACTTAAATCTGGAAGAATGAACATCTTAGCATGTGCTTCGAGCTAATCTTTCTGCTGCCCAATGACTGCCAGAACTTGGTCCCATCCCTCGTGTCCAGCAGGGTCATTGATAAATATCCCACCAAGACCTGCACCTCCAGCAAGTGGTGCATACATGTGGTATTTCTCTACGTGGAAAGGGTGAACTTTGGTAGCTAAATTCAGCAAGTCCCCTTCAAACTCTTCCATGAAATAGGTGGGACTGGGTGCTTCCTTCCCCACTGGAATACCAGCATCCACTCATGATGAGCGAGCCAATCATACATTAACAACATTGTGTTATTGGAGGAATCTCTTTGTTAGTTGTGGCTGGTGGTTTTTGTATGGTGTATTTTGTGCGTTTGGGTTTGTTGCCCGTCTCAAACTGCCTGTCCCTTGAGGGCATTAGCTTTTTAAATTTAAGACTTCAACTATACCCAGTAGGGAGGTTAGTGATGCCTGTCATGGGTCCATCCTTGCCAGGATCCCCCAGAAGTTCTTTCACCAACTGTCCTTTTCTGAAGGTGCTGGTGTTATGTTTGCCACCAGGGGATCCAGCCTTTCCCGCTCAGCTAAACCCAGTGAAAGTTATAGCTTAAAGACCTTCTCTGCCCCAGCTCTAGCTTTGTTTACACCATCAGCATCAGATGTCAAGACACTAATGTTTCTCGCGTCAGGTAAGTGCCATAGAAATGGAATCACTTCCCTTTAAAGTGTGCAATTTCTACTCTAAATGCATTGTGCGCAGACAGCAAACATAAAGGCCTCGATTGCAAATTCTCCATGGACTTCAGTGGGAGCAGGATTGGCTCTGCGAAGCATTCTCTGTGGCCTGTTTCTTTGGCCCTGCCTGCCCGAGAGGGAAAACATTTTAGACAGAGCTCTTCTGAAATAAAATTGTCCCAGGAAGGCGTGAACACAATTTCCAAATGGATCCCCAGCCCCCTACGGGCTGTGTTACAAACTGGCTGACCTACACGGCATCCTAGACTAGGATTCTGCCTCAATTAATTAATTGATGTTTACAAGTACCTGTGAATCTAGAGACCATGTAAATGCTGCATGATGCTTATCACTGTTACCTAGTTGGCTTGTAAAATGGTTTATGGCATGTTCTACCCAGTCTACACAACTGAGACCCAATCCAGACTGAAGTCATCAGAAAGGTTCCCATTGATTGGATCGGGTCCTTAGAGAGACAGGGAAACACGGGGAGGTCCAGTCGTACTTACACCTGTCTGGGAAGCATTCTGGTTCAGAATGGCTCTGGCTAATGCCCTACACCTGGGGCGCAGCCGGGGCCCTTAACTCGTGTATGGATGTGGGCTCTCGTGTGGATCCTTGGCCTGCTCTGAGATACGTTGCCTCTGTTACCGATATTCAGTGCATGCAGGCTGGCTCTGCCGGGTGTGGATTCTCTCGTGGGCGGTGAGATGCGCCCACTGGCTGTAGCTCTCCCCACACTCGGCGCATATGTAGAGGCTCCCGGCTTTGTGGCTCCGCTGGTGGCTCACCAGGTGGTTCCTTTGCTTGAAGCTCTCCCCACACTCGCTGCAGGTGTGGGAGGTCTCCCCGCTGTGGGTTCGCTGGTGCACCTTCAGGCTGTACTTCTGGGTGTAGCTGTTCCCGCACTCCCCGCAGGTGTAGGGGGTCTCCCCGCTGTGCGTCCGCTGGTGCTTGTTGAGGTTCTTCCTCTCGGTGAAGCTCCTCCCGCAGAGGGGGCAGTGGAAGGGCCGCTCCCCGGTGTGCAGGCGCTGGTGGATGCGGAGCCCCTGCTTGGCACTGAAGCGCTTCTGGCACTGGGCGCACTGGTAGGGCCGCTCCTGGGTGTGGGTGCGCTGGTGGGTGGCCAGGAAGCGCTGCTCCCGGAAGCACTTCCCGCACTCGGGGCATCGGTGCGGCTTCTCCTCCAGGTGGCTTCGCTCGTGTGACACCAGGTTGCCCTTCTGCCGGAAGCTCTTCCCGCACTCGCTGCAGGTGAAGGGCTTCTCCCCCGTGTGGATGCTCTCGTGCTTCTTCAGCGCCTGCTTCTCCACAAAGCTGCGGCCGCACTGGGCGCAGGTGTGCGGCTTTTCGCCGCTGTGCACCGACTGGTGCTGCAGGAGGCTGTGCCGCCACCGGAAGCTCTTCTCGCACGCGGTGCAGGCGTGCAGCTTGCCGCCCGTGTGGATCTGCTGGTGCTTGATCAGGCTGGTGCTCCAGGTGAAGCTTTTCCCGCAGTGAGCGCATTTGTGCGGCCTCTCGCCTGTATGGATTCGCTGGTGCTCTCGGAGGATCTTCTCCTGCCCAAAGCCTTTCCCACACTCAGTGCATTTATAGGGTTTCTCATCCCCACAGAGAACCTGGGCAGCTTGGAACATGGTGTTGCCGTTCGTGTGCCCACATACAGGGCTGGCTGAATGATGGGTCATTGCAAATGGCCTGGGCTGTGAATTCAGCCCTTTCTCCTGTGCCTGAGCAACTCTGCAATGTGCATGTATTCACCAGAGGGGCTGTGCAAATAAATCTCAATCTATGGGTTGTCCACAAGTTATTTACTATTCATTATTCGTGGGGGTTTGACTGATCACCTAGGTCAGATGGGATTGTTTCTGCTCCCTGACTGGATGGCTGAAACATTTAAAATAAAAAAATAATGAACAATAAATAATGAAAAATATATTTCCCAGGATGAAGTTTTGGACAGCTGATCACTGGAGTTAAAATTCATGAAACTTTGGTGATGCGCAGACATTTTCACAAATACCTGATGGCTATCCAAATACTGGTGAATAGCAAATAATGTGACTGCAGGAATAACATGGAACCAAATTAATAGCTTCCAGTCTCCAGAATATGTTTCTATCATTCAGCCAGCTCTGTTACTTCCGTGAAGACTCCATGAGTTTTTTCCCAAACTGATACGTTTTTTTCTGTGGTGTCTGTGATTATTGTATGTGTACCAGATATGTGTGCACGGCACTGGGAATCTTAAAAATGCTGCTGAGTTTGTTGAAACTTCTTTCACCAGTAGTGAATGTTTCCGGTTTGTTTTCTGCTGGCTTCCTCTTCTTTCTCAGTTTCCTCCAGCTCTTTCAGCTTCTCTCATTAGCACTGCTCCAGAAACCATCTCTTTGTATCTTTCTCTCAGAAACTCCTGTTCCTCCAGTTGCTTTATATTTTTATGGTGTTTCTCTTCTCTAGTTTCCACGTGTGGACCTTTTACCCACTGTAATGAAAATGGAAAAAGCAAATTATTTTGTTGCTAGTAATGGTGCTATCGTCAAATGGAAAAATAATCCAGAAAACTTTTATTCACAATGAGGTCTCCAAAATTTTCTATTCTTCACTGTTGTTGCTATGTTGACAGTGCTGCCTCTCGGGTGTAATGTTTGAGAGTCTGCGGTAATTTGGACCAATGGGTATAGAGATTTCCCTTGTGTCATATTTCAGACACCTCTCATTGTCACCTCTTTAATTAACCGACCAGACTTCTTAAAGCAAAAGCAATGGCTTCCTACAGTGTACAAACGTGTTTATAGCTTGGAACACACATGCTCATGGTAAGCTCACTTTTAGCCCCATTCCATGCTGTGGCATTAAAAGCCACGGCAGAGCCCAAAGAGCATCACACTATGATTAGGTTAAAAATTTCTTGTTTAGCATTTCCCAAGACCAGGAGACCCTGACATCCCTGATCTCTCCCTCAAACGCCCACTGCGTCTTGGAGAACACAAATGCCAGACACTGCTGGCACCAGCAGCTAGGGTTGCTAACCCTCCCCGATTGGCCGGGAGTTTCCTGGAATCGGCCTCAATCTCCCGGCGGCTATTGAAAGCCATCTGGGAAATTTTAATAGGCCAACAGTCCGGTGGGGGGCGCAGCAGGGCTAAAGGCAGGCTCCCTACCTGCCCTGGCCCCGTGCGGCTCCCAGAAGTGGCTGGCATGTCCAGCTCCTAGGCGCAGGGGTGGCCAGGGGGTCTCTGCGCGGTGTCCCTGCCCCGAGCGCCGACTCTGCAGCTCCCATTGGCCAGGAACCGTGGCCAATGGGAGCTGCAGCAGCAGTGCCTGCAGGCAGGGGCAGTGCGCAGAGCCACCTGGTTGCCTTTGAGCCAGATATGCCGGCCACTTCCGGGAGCTGCCCTAGGTAAGTGCCGCCCAGCTGGAGCCTGCACCCCTAACCCCCTCCTGCACCCCAACCCCTGGCGGCCCCAGCCCTGAATCCCCTCCCACACCCAAACTCCCTCCAGAGCCCACTCCCCCTCCTGCACCCCAACCCCCTGCCCCAGCCCTGAGCTCCCTCCTTCATCCAAACTCCCTCCTGAAGCCCACACCACCTCCTGCACCCCAACT